AGTGCTCGCAAGGTCCCTCTGCTCAAGAAAGCACATGTCCAGGCCCGTCTGACGTTTGCCACTGAACATCTGAATGATCCAGAGGAGGACTGGTTGAAAGTGTTGTGGTCAGACGAGACCAAAATCGAGCTCTTTGGTATCAACTCAACTCACTGTTTGGAGGAGGAGGAATGCTGCCTATGACCCAAAGAACACCATCCCAACTGTCAAACATCCAGGAAGATGTACAAGTGAAGAGTATAAAGACTTGCATGGAGCAACCCTCAGCCCCTTATCCTATCTGCTCTCGGCATGTCCTTGCTTATGTGAATAAAATTCATTTGGAATTCATCTGTATTATCTGTATGTGAGTTATATGTTTGATACCTTTTGAGTTCTGCATGACTTTGAAACATACACAATTTTTTATAACAGATATGAGGTAAATACTGTGTATAGAATATATATTAACATATATACAGTGAAGGAAATAAGTATTTGATCCCTGCTGATTTTGAATGTTTGCCTACTCACAAAGAAATGATCAGTCTAAAAATCGAATGGTAGGTGTATTGTAACACTGAGAGACAGAATAGCAACACAAAATTCAAAAGAAATGCATGTCTAACAAATGATGCGCTGATTTGCATGTTCATAAGGGAAATAAGTATTTTATTTCCTATCATTCAGCTTTATCATTCTGCTTTAGGGGTGTTTTTCTGCTAAGGGGACAGGACAACTGCACCGCATCAAAGGGATGATGGACGGGGCAATGTACCGTCAAATCTTGGGTGAGAACCTTCTTCCCTCAGCCAGGGCATTGAAAATGGGTCATGGATGGGTGTTCCAGCATGACAATGACCCAAAAACACATGGCCAAGGCAACAAAGAAGTGGCTCAAGAAGAAGCACATTAAGGTCCTGGAGTGGCCTAGTCAGTCTCCAGACCTTAATCCAATTGAAAATCTGTGGAGGAGCTGAAAGTTCGAGTTGCCAAACATCAGCCACCAAACCTTAATGACTTGGAGAGCATATGCCAAGAGGAGTGGGCCAAAATCCTCCTGAGATGTATGCAAACCTGGTGGCCAACTACAGGAAACATCTGACCTCTGTGATTGCCAACAAGGGATTTGCCACTAAGTACTAAATCATGTTTTGTGAAGGGGATCAAATACTTATTTCCCTCATGAACATGTAAATCAGTGCATAATTTGTTAGACATGAATTTCTTTTGAATTTTTTGTTGCTATTCTGTCTCTCAGTGTTACAATACACCTACCATTCGATTTTTAGACTGATCATTTCTTTGTGAGTGGGCAAACATTCAAAATCAACAGAAGATCAAATACTTATTTCCTTCACTGTATTATCTTTGGAGCAGAACTAGTCAGCTAAGTCATAGAAATGATAAAGTTTTGACATCAGCTAAGTTTCAGGTTTCCAGACTGCAAGGTTCCTATGTAAGTTCACAACATTGAGTGATACACTCTGCAGAAATGGCCTGCTGATACAGAACATAGCAGTTTCCAACTACCATATCCTAAAGACATACAGTCACTGAAGCACAGAGATAAGACTTTAAAAAATATTTCAAGTATTTTAAAGGAGAGGAAATAGTGAGAACAAAAAGTTGTATTTATTATATAAACTGGTTTCTTGTATTGACAGTGGAGAGCCATTACAACAAACTATAAGTGATTTTTCATAACAAAAATGGGCAGGCTATGAAAGCTTAAAAGCATACACTTGGAACATGGCCTAACTGCGGAGACTACCATATACAGTATAGATGTCACCAAGTCTCTCCATTGGCTACAACTGCCCTACTTGTCAGTAAACTGGTAAACCACTTGCTGAGACGCATGACGATGCAGGCGTTCCTAAGCCTGCACTCCGGAAGCTTATTGCAAGCACTCGGAGAGAATGAGAAATCAAAGTTGCAAAGCAAATAATCATCTGACAAGCAACAATCCTACCCAGCAGTGCATGTGAGGATCCTACAGAAGCAAGCCTACAATGAATTACATTAAATTCAGAAAATGGTACACTTGCAGTGTCTCACTGCATTAACAGACCATTAAACGATTTTACTTGTTATGGAACTGCCCTTTCAGGGAAATCTGTACTCACAGTAATTTAAGGGCTGCTAAGTCTAGATACTAGGCTGTCATGTTACTCCAAAGGCTTTAGAACTTTCTGGGTGACTGACCTGAAAGAGGAGTAAACAACAAGCATTTGACGTTACTTGGTGAAGGGTTCAGTACAAACTGCCAGGAAATCAGCATTTTCAGAAGGTTGTCTTTGATTTTTATTTCCTTTACACAGGTATAATTTACACATTCTTTCATGTGAGAGGGCTGCTGCTAAAGGTGTTTTACCCACAGCATAAAAGCGAGGTGGGGGGGGCAGCAAAGGCTAATGTGCTAGGTATGTATTTTTTCCCATCTTCAATTGATGACCTTTGCTCTGTGCCCAGGACTGAACTGTTTTACATCTTCTAACACTGGTACAACATGAAGCCATTTGCCTGTATATCTGAGATGTGCTTACTAAGGAGAGTTACAGGTGGAAACAGATATTAAAAAAAATGTCTTGTTAACCTCAGGTCATGGCACTTAATCCCTAGTTGTGATAAGCCTATATACAGTGACTAGGCTGGTGTAAGATAATTATGTAGACATTGTTTTGGAAAAGATATTTACAAAGTATTACCTCAAAGTCCAATCTAATTACAAAACAACTCTCCTTCAATATTGAATGTTTATATAGATATCAATATATATTTCAAAAGTTAAAGCACTTTCATTGAACACTTAAATATGTACATTTAAGATTTTGGTTCTCAAACTAAAGGTTTGTTAAAACTCATGTAAACCCTATTTTTATCATCATTTCTTTTGATCAGAACGTTTCTGCTTATGTCCTGTGGTACGTGACAGATGGAAAGCATGAATATAAATAAGTGTTCCTGAAGAAAACAAAGGTTTCCAGACATAGACTGATTAATGTACAAGGATTGGCCAGCCTTTTGAGGCTGATAAATATACCTTCACAGATAAGAAACATTGCATAACGGTTATCCCACTTCTTCAGCAACCATACTGCGAAAAATGCACACATCTGCCATAATTGGCCATCAATTTTAGGCTGTAGGTAGCTAAGGTGTAGATTCAGGCAAGAACTTTTCTGTATATGGCCAGCTTGAAGCCCAACCCCAGGCAAAAAGGAAATATAAATAGCATGATGTACTTTAATTACCTTACTCCTCAGTCTTGATACCAAACACTTCTTTCTAAGCCATCTTGCAGTTCCAGTGGCTCAAAGTCACTGTTTCCTCTATGAGCCAAGCTAATTTCCTGCCCTGGAGATCAGGAATTTTTCCCTGCTTGTTATCTTCTTGGACAATGGTCCCTTTACCAACCTGTGACTTCTCCAGCCTCTAGACCCTATAAAGGAGGACCCAGCCACTGCAAGGGTCATCTTCACAAACAAGAGATGTCCACATCATACAGGCAGTGATATGGATACCCAAAAAAAACTCCAGAAGGCAAACAGAAAAAGATGAAGATCATCTCGTAACTGTGACTTCAGGTAAGTTAATGGGAATTTTGATATTTTTTTTTATTTCATACCAGCAGTTAGTCAGAGTTGGGTGTGAGGGGAGTTTGCTAATATCCTGGAGTTGGGCTCTAGGGGCCTAATTTGACAGGCATTTCTTCACTTCAAATGGGTTTTCCATTGCTATACAAGTCTATGTGAGTGCAAAACCAAATTGAAACAAATCAAATGCAGGTCAAAAAAAGCCAAGGTCAAATGTACCAGTCAATGATTACCAAAGTGTCTTAAAATGATGTCAAATGGATGCCATTGACATAAGCCCAAAATCCGCCAACACAGACTTTAGGTTGTCCATAGACTTTTGAGGTTTTGACAGATGTCAGGTACCGCCAAAGCTCAGCTGCCTCATAAACTTCATTGCTTGACAGATTTTAAATGTCAGTGCAGACGGAAAGGTGTAGGAGGTGAGCATCATTGGCACCATGTATCTCAGGGCGGGGGAACAACAGTGAAAGGGACAGGTTTTGAAACCTACTTATTCAATTGTCCCTCTTAACACTGGCTTCCCAACCCACAGATATGAAATCAGGACTGAAAAAGGCCATACCAAGTAGCTCAATTTGAATGGTTGCAAAACTGTTCTAATTAAATTGCTAGATATATGCACTGTTATTTGAATGTACAATCAATGGAGCTGGCCTTTAAACTCAATTTGAAACACATTATTTGCACTTTTAAATGTTATAAGTCACCACCATCAAGACCAGCTAGGGCAGTTGTACATAGGTTCTATATAAAAAGCTAAAATAAGTCATTCTGTGATAGATATTGCTATTTAAAGCATAATAAACGCAGAACTTTAGGGACCAAATAGTGAAACAGCTGACATCACATCCTTCAGGAAATAAATGGCTTTCTTCATTGGAGAAAAAATGAGGTAGTGAACGGTTTTGTTGGCCTTATTTATTTTTTTTTACCTTTGGAACAAAAAATACAAAAGTCTGAAAAATGGCCATATGTGTACAACAATAAAAAGAACTGGAATATGTCTGGATGTGTAGGCTGTCATCACTTCTGTTTTAAATACAGTTACTATGATTAGGAGCCTCTTCTCTTTCCCTACGTTCAAAGATCTGGTGTGCTCTTTGTAGATCCTCAATGATAGTTAGCAAGCGCCTTGCCGCAGATGAAGCAATGAGGCCTGAAGTAGAAAAAAATGAAAAAAATAAATTGCTAGACTGGTCATGTGATACAATTTCACAGTGGTCGCAATATTCTGCAGCAGTAATACTGAACCTTCAAATCCTTTCTCAGTAGGACCTCTTGTTTCTGCTTTCCCTGTGGCCACACCATCTGCACCATCTAGGTACTTGTTCCTATTAAAAAGTAAGCATATCATAAGCCAAGAAATACGGCCAGTGTTTTAAAATATGAAAACGTATCTGAAATGGTTACTTCATATGACTAGAGATTAGGGAGGCCACCACAAATCAACGAAAACTTAAGATCCATTAATGAAATGCAAACAATGAAGAAATTACATGCATTATCATAGTGTGCATAAAAAGAAGCATTTGCAAACCTGAGCATATCCTTGATCAATAGAAGATGTCGATATAACACCTGAGCCTCAGCATCTGGATCCAAAGGATCGCTCCAGTCTCCCAATGTCACAGCTAAATGTGTCCGGCTACAACCACGAACTGTAGGACACAAAAAAATTAGTTTTCACTTACTTGTAAATTCCACATCTTGAAGTACAGTACAGGACACAGGCAGAGGATTCATACACCATGGGTTATAGGCATGTATATTCAGGTGGACACTGGGTGTCTTCCCTGTAACGCCTCCCCAGTCTGTGAGCCCTTAATTTTGTAGCAAGCAACACACACTAAGCTAAGGAATGAATGTTGGGTGTCCTGTGTCCAGTATTGTACTCCAAAAAAATGGAATGTACAAGCAAGTGAAAAGTCCTCTTATTTTAATCATACTGTAGAGGAAACAGTATTCATACACCATGGGATGTCCCCAAGAAATGAATAGGAAAGGTAGGCAACAATGAGGCAAACAGAACTCTTTCCAATAGGCCCATCACCATAAGATTGGACATCCACCTGATAAGACTTTGAAAAAGTATGAACAAAAGACCATGTGTCGTCCTTTCACAACTGGGCTAGAGAGGCTTGGTACCGGAATGCCCCAGGAAACTCCCACTTCTCTGGTGGAATGGGCACTTTAAAGCACAGGAGGAGATTTCTCTTTGAGAATGTAAGCACTTGCAATCATATTTCGTATACATTGTGCAATTGTGGACTTTTGAAGCAGGGTGTCCGTTGTGAAGTGGAATGCGGAGACCACCTTTCAGAGAAAAGATGGCCTTTGGTACAAGACAACCTTTTCATTGTGAAGTATGAGGAAATGCTGTTTACAGGAAAGGATCCCCAGTTCAGAAACATGTCTGGGAGACACAACAGTGACCAAACAGGCTACTTTGTATGATCCTCTAGGGGAAAATCATGGATAAATTGAATGGGTGGTTTCTGCAGGGCAGTCAGAACTAAGATGAGATCACTTAGATTGAAAGCTCCAAGGAGCAGGGCCCTCCTAACCCTCTTGTATTGAACTGTATAGTTGCTGTATAGTCTCCCTTTATATTGTAAAGTGCTAAGCAAACTGCTGGTGCTATATAAATCTTGTATAATAATAATAAAAAGATCACAAGGAAGTGGCAAAGTGGCTTAATACGAGATACTCCATGGAGAAAGCTTTTTAAAAGTCTGAGTGAAGCTAGAGGCCTTTGGAAAAGAATGGATAAAGCATAAGCTAAGACCAGACTTTTGTACTTCAGAGTAAGGCCAATCATTGGTCAAGACCTGATTGTCAGAAGGCCAAAATACAAGGTGAAATGTCTGTTTTCACTCCAGGCAAAAAAGGATTTCCTAGTATGATAAAATATCTTCCTTGAAGAGGCTTTTCTTGCTTTTGGCAAGGTAGGAATTACAGACTCAGAAACCCCTCTATCCTTTAATACCTGGGTTTCAACAGCCATGCCATTAACCCAGAGACACTGACCTAGTACACACAAGCCAAATGTCGAGCAGCAACAGGAGGTTCAATACAAACTGGCCATCATTAGGCCCATGTGTATGACAGCCAGTCCGACAGAAGCCAGGCACTTGACAGGCTTCTGTCGAAGAGGCATGACCGAAGAAAAGGCCTGCCAACTGGTTCCCAATCACTGTCCCCCCCTGTCAGAACACAATAGCACAGCATAGGAGTTCGCTGTAATAACATCAGATAGTTAGTACAGTAACTCTTCGTGAGCTGTCAGATTTTTTTTTTCGTTCAGCCTGCTTGGTTGAATGAAAAAAAAAACTAGTAGTGTGTACCAGGTTTAAGAAGCAGGATGGAATAGAGGGCCTTGAGATAGCAGATTTGGTTTATTGGGAAGGGGACAGGGGTAGTCTGCTAGCAATCTGAGTATGTTTTGCATATTAGATTCAAGATATCTGGATGAAGGGCCCATTCTGGTTGATTCAGGTGATGGCAGCTGAGATTCATTTTCCAGTTGTTCGCTCCAGGGATGTGGACCACAGAGATCGCTGGAAAGAGAGTTTCTGTCCAAGAGATGATCTGGTTCCTTTCATTCAAGGCAATCAGACTGCTGGTGGTTGATATAAGATACTGCTATGACATTGTCTGACTGCATCTTGACTGGGTGCCCCATTCAGAAGGCGGCCCAGTGCTGCAGAACCAACCTGACTTCTCTGAGCTTCAAGATGTTGATGGGGAGCTTAGCTTTACTCAGTTACCATGTTCCTTGGACTGTAAGGTATTGGAATGCTCCTCCCCAGCCTTAGAGATTTGCATCTGTTGTGCTAACTCTCCAGTGATAGGGAAGGAATGGTTTCCCCACTGATGGGGCTTGAAGTTTTATCCACCAAGAAAGGGAATTCCTTGCATGGGCAAATGAGAGAGAAGGAGCCTGCTTTTTCCAGGTTGACAAGAGGTTTTGTTTGGAGATTTCTTGAATAAAACTGGGTAAATGGTACTGCTTCAAAGGAGGCTACCTTTAAGGCTAGAACTCTCATGGAGAATCTCAATATAATATAGGAGGTCTCTTGATTCTCAATTCTTGAGCATTATTTCTTTTAGAACTTTTTTTCTGAAAGACTTGTGCTTGGGATGGGTCCAAGACCAGAACTTTCCAGGTGAAGGGAAGGCTGGAGAGCAGATTTGTTAAAATTGACCATCCAGCCAAAGGCCTGAAGCATCTGAATTGTCCTGTTGACATTTTTGGATAGCAGGAAATTAAATTAATCTTTCAGAAGAAGATCATATAGATAGCCTGTGACATGAATTCCCTGAGTTCTGAGAAGGGCCAGCAGAGAGTGCTAAGACCACTGTGAATACTCTGGGAGGACATGCCATAGGGCAGTGCGACAAACTGGAAGTGGTTGTCTGCTAATGTGAAGTGCAGAAAGTGCTGATTAGGTGGGTAAATGGAGATAGGCATCTTGGATGTTCACAGAGGCCATGGATTCCCCTTGTCTCAGAGAAGCAATTATGGACCTTGCGCATTCCATGCAAAATTTTGGAATTTGAAGGAATTAGCTGAGAAATTTTAAATCCAGAATAGGATAAACCCCATTGGGTTTTGGTACTGTGAACAGGTTTGAGCAGAATCCTTTAAAACTCTGTTCTGTGGCAGTACTGGCACAATGACTTCCTGGAACAAGAGATGGTTCAGGGTATTCTGCAAAGTTAACTGTCCTTGGGCAGTTTCTGGTTCATTTGAAAGAAGAATGCATTGAGGCAGTAGAGCATTGAAACTATTTTGTCACCTTTTAAACCACAGACTGAACCCAAAGGTCTGGGACATCTGTGACCCAGAGAGGCAAACTGTATCAGACATCCCCGAACCCTTAGGAGCAAAGACGCAACTTCACTGTGAAGAGGGCTTTGGGGAAGGCTTGGTGGACTAAGCCTTGTGTCAAAAAGAAGGGCTGTACTCAGATTTTGAAGATGAAGCTTGGTTAGAGCAGACAGATGCTCTGCGTTTAGAGGAGCTAGGGGTTCCTGAGGAGGGTGGTTTTGAGACCTTCAGCTGTGGAAGTAAAACCTTCCCACCTGTGACCTTTCTGATGAAGTGGTCAAGTGCCTCACCAAGCAGACATCTTCCTTGGAAAGGTATACGTGTGAGACACCTTTTACAGGCAGCTTCAACTGTCCAAGCTTTTAGCCATAAGATTCTATGCATGTGAATCGAGAATAGAGCCACAATAAGCCATTTGTTGCAATCCTTAAATCATGAGCTAGAACAAATGCTGAGACAGGTTTTAGAGCTAGCTCTTGCTCCAGTGCCAGGGATGCATCATTCAGTGGCATTAAATTGTGAACCAGTGGTGTAATGTAGCACCTAGTTATCCATCAGAGACTGACTTCTGAGTGGTTGAAAAGTTTGCACTTTGAAGTGAATACATTCCAAACACAGACCCATTTTTACAGTAATGGTTAAAGATACAGGGTAAATAATATCTTACCTGTCCACAATGCAGGACTGTATGTATTTAAAGTTCAGGCATGCCCCCAAAGGAATCTTCAGGGAATTCCATAGCAATATACCATGGCCCTGGACCTGTATAGCACACTGCGGCTAACTCAAAATGTTGCACCAAGTTCCAAGGTGAGTGCCCATGCAGGATCCACTGCCCGTGGCAACATTACAGGCTGCTCCCACAGGGTGGGGTCCAGGAATGGCTCCCAAGGTTTTACCTAGGTTGTGTTGATCTGGATACACTGATTCTATGCTGACATTAGAAGACAGTGAGGGATTGTTTGAAGGATAAGTTAAGATAAAATAATTAAAAAAAAATCTAAGCTTGGAACGATTTTTCTGTGGTGGATAAAAGGTTAGTCACATTCAGACACTAGAACAAAATTGAAGACTCATGGAGTTGGGTAGGATTATAGGGGAGTTACCCAGGGGGCATGTCCTCTAAAGTTCTGCCAGTATTCAATCATCTGAAGGTAAAAGACTATAACCCATGGTGTATGAATACTCCACCTGTGCTCTGTACTGTATGATTAAGATATTGAGTGATTATACAACATGGAGTTATGCTCACAAGCACACTGTACTATGGCTAGGCATATTACCTGTTCGGTCAGATTGCAGGCAGCATGTCCAATGTGAATTACGATAGGCCCCTTGGTGATATGTTGGCAACAAATTCTGGTTGCACAGACTGACTTTACGCAGGGCAGAAAGCCACTGATTCAGTTCATTAACATTCTATAAAGAAAATAATATTTAGTAAAAAGAAAAAATGCCATTTTTACTCTAATATTTACACAGTTTTTCCCCTCTCTTAGTTTTTGCATAATCTTTTAAATGGTACTGGTAATATAAAACCTTGACTATTGGTTCTCACCTTGCACTGTATATACATAATGTGGCAACCTTGTGTCTCAGCATCTTGAGTAATGATTTGCATCATATTTGGCTGCTGAAATGCATTTTCATCGACTCGCTCCACAGCGCAAATCCGATGCACTGGTATAGAAGAGCGCACCTGCAACAAGGAAGTAAAGCATTAAATGCGAAGTACCTTAAGCTATCAATGCATATTTTAATCTGATTGTACAATTCTGTCCAATTATTTTGTACATGGCCATACATATTACAACCTGTACAACCCCGGTCCTTTAGATCTACCCAAATAATTTAAAATTATTATTTAGTAACCTTAATAATACAAATCAGATAGATCTCTACAGCACAAAGTTAATGGTATATTTAAAGTCTATCATACAATCAGACTGTAATGTGCAAGGCCAATTTAATAGCCTATGTTATTGCATAATTGCAGCATATTGCAGTGGATATCCAGCATGCAGCCCAGTACTGCAGAATGAGTCTCATTAAGGTCTTGAAATGCAATAATATGAGTATTATGAAGCAGAAAGAATAATCAAATAATTAGGCATTGCTATGTTGTTAAGTAGACCAAGATATTTTCTTTCAGTCATTCACTTAAAGTGATATTAAAGACTTTTTTTTTATTACAAACATGTCATACTTAGCTGCTCTGTGTAGTGGCTTTGCACAGAGAGGCTCTTCTTCTCGGTTCCCCCACCAGTGCTCATGGCCCCTCCCTCCTGCCAAGTGCCCCAAGAGCAAGCGATTTGCTATGGAGGCACCCAAGCAGGTTTGCTCACAAGCCACTGCTCTGCATGTCAATTCACAAATAAAGCTGAGGCTCAGCCCCCCGCCCCTCCCTCTCCTTATTAGCTCACTGTCTGTGATTGACAGCAGCGGAAGCCAATGGTTTCAGCTGCTGTCTAAGCCAATGAGGATGGATATTCCCCAGAGAGCTGAGATTCTCATGCACTGGATAGAAATGGGGCTCAGGTAAGTAGTATGGGGGGCTACTTCACATGGAAGGTTTTGTACCTTCATGCATAGAATGCATGAAGGTAAAAAACCTTGAGCCTTGAGAACTACTTTAAATGTACAGAAGAAAGATACACTAAATGGCCACTGGCCAATCCTTCCAGCTGGCAAAATCAGGTAATGATTGGAAAGGCTGTTGAAATTGTCAGAGGTATTGAGTTAAAGACCCATTCCGAGAGACTGCAAATACAGTGCTGCAAGTGGAGTCCAGGATCACCAGTGCACTACCATCCCCCTCTCTGATGACATTGTCCTCTTCTGGATCCTAAGAGGAACCTGTCACTGCGCATTGAATAGGAAGTGTCCCTGTCATGCAGACTCCAAGGTGGACATCTGAAGAAGGACCCAAGCAGAAGTAAAAAAAAGAGGAATGAACTCTGGGCTGTGGTGTCACGTGACCACAGGTAAACATGATTATGGAGTGGGGATTTAGCTTAGAACACCAATAAATCAAACATTGGCTCCTTGTACAGTCTTACACAAGGTATTATTTCTCTGCTTTTGTGAACTGATGACCCCAGTTCTCTGATTGTGTACCTTATTTTATATGCCACTTACCTGCCAGTCAGGTGTTTTGGAATAGGATAGAGTCTGGCCACTCAGCCAAAAGTATCTTTTCTTGAAAGTAAAACGGGTAACCAGATTTACAGCTTCAGCTTTACGCTTGTGTAAAAAGCCTTCTTTAATAGTAACTGATGGATGAAAAAGAGTGCGAGATGTATGTCCACACTCTGCAAGAGAAAGAATGAACAGGTGAGCAATTGGAAGTAGGAACAGGTGTCAGAAAGTATTAAAATATATTAACTTTCTTGGCATCAAGGCCCGAGAACTAACAGCTAAAGATCCTGTAACATTCTGTTATATGCCAGTGGGGTTATGAAGGAGACAGAGACTGACAACCACAAGGAAATAATGATCATGATGGGTATTACTGTGCAGGACCTATATCTAACGGAATTAATTTCTGGAGATCAAGTGTGATTAAAAACAAAACAAAAAAAGTTAAAGAGGTCAGTTATGAAACTATGAAGGAGTATTTAAGGTAAGTACTTTTTTCATGTTTTTGTTTGTATATTAAAGTGTCTCTAAACCCAAAAACAAAAATGTAACATATTACAGCTTGTCCTTCGATATGGTGGCTGCTTTACTTTTGTCATGATTTTTTTTCCTTTTCACCTAGTAATCCTGCTAATAACCCTTCATATCTACACTCATTTCCCCACTCTATCTACTGAAGAAGCCATGGCTGCCATCCAGACTAGACTTCAAACATTTCTGCCTTTGTTCATCTTCATTACATGGGATTAGTAGTTTACAAAAGAAAGATAATATTTTGCTGTCTGTTCTGCTCAAGCACACTGCATTTCTGACAAGATCAACAGGTATTTTTTGTATTTGCTAAATATTTTCTTAGCCTGAAAAAAAAGGCAGTCACCAAATTTAATGACTTGTACACTGCAATATATTTAATGTTTGTTTTTAAGTTTATACTTTAAATACAGAAACTTGTAGATTAATCATTAAGGCCTCCCAAAGACCAGTACCTCCGGGCAGAGAGTTGTGTTTATGCACCCGGGAACGATGGGTGTTCCGTGCAGCCATTCTGACAAAATCAATGACATGCTGGAGATGCACAGGCTGTACTCTCACACAAATGCCAGAGTTTACATCCACGCAGGGATGGGAACAGCTCTGGATGAAGATCATCTCTTCTGTGTTGGCAGACATTTTAGGCTAAAATGGTGTCTCCCAGCAGAAGCAGTTAGTACTTTTCTAATGTTATTACTGGACATAAAACTGCCATGTGTAGTAAAATACTAATACTAGCAGCATTTTGCAACATCTATGATATAACAGGGAAAACAGGCAGGCTAAGCAAGAGGTAGAAAGCTTTGTACAAATACCAGTCAGGCAAATTAAAGAAAAGTTTGTAAATATATACCAATATTGTTATAACAACACAAATCAGTAGTAAAGACTTTCTTGCAAATGGACATCCCTTGGTCAGCCACAGAGAATACCTGGTTGTCCAAGGCTCCATTAGGCGTCTACATATCTCATTATGTACAAGAGGCAAACATTTTTTTTAATTGCACACCATACTACCACAAACATTTATCATTAGCTTTAAGATGTATTACACTTATCTATGTCAATCACTTAGCAGTCATGGTATGAACACAAAGACAACAGGATTATTTCCTGGAATCAGTGACTCAGCTAAGGATGTACTGTATATAATGGTTGGCATTTCCTGCATGAGAAATGAGGAAATGCCTCTGCATTCCTTTGAAGGCTGGAAAATATATGCTAAAGTTGTCTATGTCCTATTAAGGAAACGTCAATAAAGATAAAGCTACCTTAAAGAAGATTACGGTTTCACGGTTTGTGGAGACAACAAATAAGATCTATCACAACTTCGCTATTCTGTTTATCACTAGTTCTTATGCAGGGATGTGCAATTCATATCGCCCGACGCCCAGGACATGTAGTTCCGGGCGCCGGGCAGGTAGGATTTTTTTGCCTTTAACCCTGCTGCAGGCAAGCAGCAGGGCTCATCTGTTAGGTGGAAGCATTTGGGCGGCAGCACTGCCACCCGATTGCTTTCATGCAGCCAGGGGCAGACTGACCATTTGGAAACTCGGGCACTGCCCGAGGGCCCGGGGTCAGTAGGGGGCCCCATGAGATGCCCCTGGTACCTTTTTCATAGGCTTTTTTGAGTTTCGGAAAGGTCACAGGGGCCCCATGATCCCCTATTGCCCGGGGGCCCCATGAGTTGTCACTCTGCCCCTGCACACAGCCCACAGTGCCAGCTGCTGCCACCCTTGCTTGCTATAAGTCCTGGGCTCTGCTTGCCCATCTGCGAGCCCAGGACCAGATGTTGGGATGCGGGTATAGAGAAGGGAGGAGAGCAGACACGTCCAGTCCCCTCTCCTCCTTGTCCTGACCTGGAAGTGATGTCACATCACTTCCGGTCCCTGTTGACAGATTCCCGGCCATCGAGCACAGGGGAGACATGCAGGGTCTTTTAGACCCTGGATGTCTCAAAAAAGAGAACCTGTCACCAATCATCCCATAGGGAATTTTTTGTCCCCTATGTGAAAATAAATTTTTTTTTTTTTTTTTAAAATACAAGTTACACCCAAGCATATAACCCTTCCCAGATTTTTCAAGGCTCCCCCCCCCCCCGCATATTTACACACGCACAAACATAAAAGTACATTTTGGGACGCACACACATGAAAACGACGATTGCGATACATGTTACATATCGCCGAGCACATCAGAATGAGAGCAATAATTCCAGCAACAGACCTCCTCCTTAACTCTAAACTGATGATCTATAAAAGGCTTTAAAAGTGTCACCTATAGAAAATATAGGGTACTAAAGTTTGTTGGCATTTCATGAGCGCATGCAAATTTAAGATTTGACATGTTGGATATCTATTTACTCAATGCAACCTCGTCTTTTAAATTTTACAAAAACATTGGATAATGTATTACTTTTTGTGCCCTAAAATTAACTTAAGTGTATTTTTTACTGAAATTTTACATTTCCTAGAGCTTTGTGATAATATCATGTGACATAAAAAATTGGAAATACCACTATTTTATTCTCTAGGGTCTCTGGTTTCAGAAAATATATAGCATGTTTTGGAGTTTTGTGTAATCTTCAGGCCTTAAATTATTTTTTAAACGTGTGCAAAAAATGCAAAAATGGCTCTGGCAGCGAAAGGGATAAAGGATAAGCCTAACACCCCCCTTTCCTGATGAGTAGCCAATTGGTGCTCATTACACTGCAAGGTCTCTCCCCTCCCTGCTAGTCCCCAGGTGCAGTGCTGGAGACAGGCAGGGAGGGAAGGAGGAGATACACAGCACAAAAAGTCACCATAAAGCCCCTTTTGTTTTTAAGAGCCCCAGACATGCCATAAAGCATGTCAAATCACTCACAAACACATGCAGACTCCACCTCCGCAATATCGCCAAAATACGCTCCTTCCTTACCCCAGACACCACTAAACTACTTGTGCACTCCCTGATTATCTCACGCCTTGACTACTGGAACTCCCTCCTCACCGGCCTACCCCAGTGCAGGCTCTCCCCGCTTCAGACCATCCTGAACTCAGCGGCTAGACTCATCCACCTCACCACCCGCTCCACCTCTGCCACCCCCCTCTGCCTCTCCCTCCACTGGCTCCCTATCGCCCAACGCATCAAATTCAAACTACTCACTCTGACCTACAAAGCCATTCACAACACTGCCCCTAACTACCTCACCAACCTGATTCCCAAGTACCACCCTACCCGTACCCTTCGCTCTTCACAGGACCTCCTTCTATCTTGCTCCCTGGTCTCCTCCTCACACGCACGTCTGCAAGACTTCTCCAGGTCCTCCCCCCCATCCTCTGGAACTCACTACCCCAATCCATCAGACTGTCACCTTCCCTCCTCACCTTCAGGCGCTCCCTGAAAACCCACCTCTTCAGGGAAGCCTACCCCACCCTCACCTAACTGCTGCTCTCCTTCATTCCTCCTACCACTCCATCCCCCACAGCCACTTCCTCCTGTACCACTACCCCCTCCCTCCTAGATTGTAAGCTCGAAAGAGTAGGGCCCTATAACCCCTCGTGTGCTGTTTGTAGTTGCTGTAATGTTTCATGTATTGTCCCCCCCCTCTATTGTACAGCGCTGAGCAAACCCTTTGGCGCTATATAAACTCAATGTAATGTAATGTAATGTAATAATAAAGCACCTATTTAAATACGGTTTTGGTTAAAATGTATTTTTTTTTCTGGACAAGTAGATTGGGACACCAATTTAGTCCCTGGACAAGTAGTAGCCATAGCAACCAGTCAGCAGTAATCTCTGAACTGTGAACTGAAATTGGGTTAGTTCCTATGAGACAGCATTGGACTACTCTCAGATGCTCTACCATCTTAAGGTCAAGCTGCAAGTGTCAACATTTGGTTATATAAGGTAAAAATAAAGAAACAAATTTTTGCTTATTTTTAAGTGCTTTATCTTATCTTCCTACTACCTTGGCCATGGATCTGCAACTGCCTCATGGCAAAAGCAACCCGTTTATTTTATAAGCAGACACAGGCAGAATTAGAAAATTTCAAAAAGGTTCTTTCTAGATCCTCCAAGGCACATTCATACCTGTAGCTTGAACCTACATAATGCTTAACAATAAAAATCCTATTGTTTTAAATGATGCTTGTTGCTAGACATCTGCCACTAGAAAAAATTAAACATTTTTTCAGAGAGATGTGGGCATTTTTGGCCCAATAGATTTGAAAAATACACGAAAAACACACACACAAAAAAAAGGTTTAAATCCAGTCTAAAGTGTATTTATCCACTGCTTAATTCAGCCTATTTGTTTTTGTGTTACAGCACAGAACACACTCATCCAACAGTAACTGTAAGGTTTAATGAAAATGCAAGGTGAGAAGCAGCATCCAGTATCCTGGTAACAGACATTCATCTGAATCCCTTTTCCATCCATATTAAGTGTCAGAGGCACATCACACAGAAAGTGGAACAGGTGTGAGGAAGACAAACAGCAGGACTAAAGTGAAATATAAACTGAGATGGATGAATACAGATGAAAGATGGCAGTCAGATTTGCTGCCTACTATTACCACACACCAACATCGCTCTCCATGTCTATGAGTTTGTCTAAGAAATCTCTCAAGCGGCCCACACTTTGCTGAATGAGAGGATGTAAAGGAGACATCCACTGTTCCTTTCCGTGACCTAGCTGCTGCCCAAGATTTCCAATACTCTGTACTACCTAAAAATAAAGAATAAAGATAAGCAAGTAATATACTGGACAATGTGCACTGGACAACTGAGCAAGAGTAAAGCTTTTTTTTGACACACAAGACCTGAGAAACTTCTTGACTTCAGATAATAAAACCAATGGTCAATACCATGTTACACACATAAATTGCCATCATGGCAATGAGGTAGCATGACAATAGTACATTACGTATATTTGATCTTTCCACCATGCTGTATTTTTTACATTTTTAATGAGTATACATTTGATTGCATTTTGTACAGTTTACTTGATTGTAATTTTGAGGTGGCTTTTTTGCTTAAATTTTCCTTATTTTTATGGTATTTTTTGAAATACAAATTTGTAGGGTTCTCTTTCCTAAGGTTCTGTATGTCAACAAGTGCAGTCTGCACATACTGGCTTCATAACTGCTGAGACACAAGCGGAGATTTACTAAAACTGGAGAGCGCAAAACCTGGTGCAGCTCTGAGTAAAAACAAATCAGCTTCTAGGTTTTATTGTCAAAGATTAACTGAACAAGCTGAAGTTAGAAGCTGATTGGCTACCATGCCCGGCTGCACCAGATTCTGAGTGCTCCAGTTTAAGTAAATCTCGCTTAAGGTAACCCATCTTGTGAGAATTTTATGTTAATAAATGAACTCGTGGCAGGAGATTCCCCACCCTTCAGCTCCACACATACAAAGGAAAAATAATTCTCTCTTATGGCGCAACCACTGAGTGGCTAATAGCCAAAGATAGCTCCTAAAAACAAAGTTCAATGGAAATGTTCAGTATCACAGGCATTGTTTAATGGCTGCAGCTTCTTTTCACTTAGTATGGGAGAAACCTCTGTATGCAATTAATGCAAGAAAAAAAAAACAACAAAGGGTTCAACCATCTAAGTGTAAATTTATTAAGAAAACAATGATAAAAGATACAATGCACTCATATGTGGTAAAGACCTGAGGCTTGAAAAAGGCATGGTGAATCGCCCTAAAATGCGTAGCCATGCCCATATGTCTGATGTCATCCAGCTTCAGTATCGGCTCCGGACTTCTGGTTTCCCTGTGTGTTCCATTCTGGTTTGCCGGGTCTTCATCCATCTAAGGCTGATTCCAGGCGCTACTCTGCAATACCCGATAACTTCCCTAGGGAACTCTGCAAATCGTCTCCATCTGCTTCCTGCCATTATTCTGCAACACCTGGCGGCTTCCCTGACGAACTCTGCATAAACCCTTGGGATTGCCCAGCAGTACCCCCATAGTCGGATGACATATCTATTCTCACTTTATCTTTAACCACTTGCTCTCCTGAGGAGTTCATCCCCCCCCTCCTGACCAGGCTATTTTTTGCGTTACAGCGCTGCGTTACTTTAACTGACAACTGCGTGGTCATGCAATGCTGCACCCAAGTTAAATTTACGTCCTTTTTTTCCCACGAATTGAGCTTTCTTTCAGTGGTACTTGATTGCCTGTGCATTTTTTATGTTTTGCACTAAAAAAAAAAACGTCAGTGACACCAATACAGTGATCAGTGCTAAAAAAAAGCACTGACACTGTACTAATGGCACTGTGCAGAAAGGGGTTAACATGAGGGGTGATCAAAGGGTTAACTGTGTGCTGGGAGTGTGTTACTGGGGGTCGGTGTGTTGGTGCTTCACTGTAAGCACACTACTCTGGATAGCTGTGCTGTTCACAGCCATCCAGAGCAGTGTGTCCGAGCCAACAGGGAGAAGGACTGTTAGTAAACAAAGCAGTCCTCCTTCCCGTCGGAGATGCTCATTAATCACTGGGAGCCGGTGGGTAATCACCGGCCAGGACACGGTGATTGACAGCGCACATGCCTCCCACCTGGAAATGCGTATACTGTATAAACGTGATTTTGTGCACCCCTGCCGCCCTGTAGCAGTATATCTGTAATAGAGCAGCGGGGAAGTGGTTAACCATTGTTTTCTTAATAAATTTACACTTAGAAGGCTGTACCTTTTGTTGTTGTTTTTTTCCCACTCGTACACAGCAGCAGTGATGATTGTGACATCATTGCCCTATAAATATGTCCCATGCCAATATAGATATGCCTTTAGAGTCTTTAACTGCCTTGTCTGGGCTATTGCTGCGTTGCTGTACCTTTAAGGAGGGATTGCTTCCATTTGAGCCTGCATTTAGGCTGTGAATTAATTTAGATGTCCCAAAGCTGGTAATTTAGATCGTTTATAATTAGCTGGCCATATATGGATATATTTTCATTCAGCTTGCAGCCTGGACAAAAAATATCTACCAGATTACTCCATTTTTGCCAACAACACTCCTGTCGGGTTATTATATTCTGAAAGCCGCAGGCAGCACCTGCCCGAGTACCCAAACAGCGGCTGGATCCAGGCACCATTCAGCTGACAATCTTTCAGTCGAGGGATGTCGAGTGGGAGGGGGCCAAGGGAGCCAACTATGTACTGAATTTTAGCTGGTTCATCAAGAATCAGCTGGAATTTACACAGTGTATTTCCAGCTTATGGGACACTAATTTGAGGTGCCATTGACTTAGCAAATGCATATAACATGAACTTCTGTTTTTAACATGTAATGGAAAAAAAATTCAATTGGGCTATCTGGAAAGTATGGCAGGGACTATATATATGTATAATTATTAAAAAAAAAAAAAAAAACTACCACAAAACAAGTAGCATTCAGTGTAACTGTTAATAAGTGCAATAAAACACTGAAGTACATTCATTTGACAGGAATATAAACTTGACGTAAAAAGACTGACAAGTACTTAAAGGAAATAACATGGACTTAAGTGGCAATACAAACTGCAAATGGCATGCATTGCAAAAAAAACAGTCTGAGAAAAGCTAAACTTCCTCTTCATCTGAGGAATACCTTAGCCAGCAGTAGCAAAGTGCGTGCAGTGCGTGGATCAGCGTGATGCTCTCGTAAGTGGAACAGTTTAGGTGTCAGGATGGCAGGAGCAAAAAAGCGCAAGAAGAGGAAACCACTGATGGCTGCATACTTCACATCCTGGTTTCAAGCAGAAAACATTATTGGAAGGTATCCACTGAAGTATTGTCTCTCCCTCCCACCAGATTTTCCATGCAGGAATTTGTGGGAACATTCCCACTTTCAGAAGGTTATGTATTGACAAACAGGGGTGTTGCATATCCACTGGTGTCAACATGCTCCCCATTACATGCTGGTGGGAATGAAAATGTTATTCTCACCTGACTGGCTGCCCCAGGAAATCGTTCCTCCACACGCTTATGTAGCTGCTTGAAGCAAAGACGCATACCTGGTGGGCACTGTTCTACTGAGCCCAAGATGGCATCAATGATGTCACTCAAGTAGCCCCTCAAAGACTCCACACTGCTTTCACGGATCTGCTGCTCAGAACCTGAACCTTTAAAAGAGATACGCCTGCAGAAAGAATTAACAGAGCCAACACATTTACCTTATATGTTAGTACAGTACCAACATAAAAAACAGGTTTAGTTTGTATAAAGAGATTTTATTTATTTATTACAGGCACATATATATATATAGCTTCATCAATTTAAACAGCTCTTTACATATTCACATCAGTCCCAAACCCTGAAGGGGTGTACAATCTAAGGTCCCTAACTCACATTCATATATACACATACTGGGGCCAACATAGAGAACATGCAAACTCCACACAGGTAGTGCCATGGTTGAGATTCAAACCAACAACCCTAGTGCTGATAAGTGGAAGTGCTAACCATTTAGTCACTGTGAGAGATGATGAGATTGTTAATTCTTAAGAAAATCCTTACAACATCATACACTAAAAGACCATAAACTCAATTTACAAAGTTAACAAACTAAGAGAAGTATACTTATTTTCCAAAAAGTGACTTATTTTCACTTGAGCCAAATGCAATTTGAAAATAACAGTCACATGGCTAAAAACAGAATCGCTTAATCTGGTCATACATGGATTAAAATTTGAACAGTTCAGTAGGGACTTTGATCTATGGCTTTTCCCATTCATGAGAAAGTGGTCTAATAACTGACTTTTCACAAATGAGCTCATTGGAAAATGTTTGTCATATCAGTCCCCACTGTCAATACAATAACACAGGCGTATTCCTCCATCAACCTGAATTGTGTGGCTGGGGGAATCCATTCAGTTTTTTTCAATCAGCTGTCTAGCTAATAAAAAAAAAAAATTAGATTCACCGATAAACAGCTTTAGACTGTTGTTTAAGCTTTGTGAATTGATTTGACAAATACTAGTCGCATGGCTGTCAATTCTGAGTTACTGACCAGCAACAAGCATACAGGTCAGGCATATCAGAGTGACGTGGAAACTTGTGATCTACATCTATGTCCTTAGTGAACAACAAGTTATTGATCAACATACAAGTGAAACTCGAAAAATTAGAATATCGTGCAAAAGTTCATTTATTTCAGTTAATGCAACTTAAAAGGTGAAACTAATATATGAGATAGACTCATTACATGCAAAGCAAGATAGTTCAAGCCGTGATTTGTCCTATTTGTGATGATTATGGCTTACAGTTAATGAAAACCCCAAATCCACAATCTCATAAAATTAGAATATTGTGAAAAGGTGCAATATTCTAGGCTCAAAGTGTCCCACTCTAAGCAGCTAATTAAGCCATAACACCTGCAAAGGGTTCCTGAGCCTTTAAATGGTCTCTCAGTCTGGTTCAGTAGGAATCACAATCATGGGAAAGACTGCTGACCTGACAGTTGTGCAGAAAACCATCACTGACACCCTCCATAAGGAGGGAAAGCCTCAAAAGGTAATTGTAAAAGAAGTTGGATGTTCCCAAAGTGCTGAATAAAAGCACATTAATAGAAAGTTATATGGAAGGGAAAAGTGTGGAAGAAAAATGTGCACAAGCAGCAGGGATGACCGCAGCCTGGAGAGGATTGTCAGGAAAAGGCCATTCAAAAGTGTTGGGGACTTTCACAAGGAACGGACTGAGGCTGGAGTCAGTGCATCAAGAGCCACCACACACAGACGGATCCTGGACATGGGCTTCAAATGTCATATTACTCTTGTCGTTTGCGGCTCCTGAACAACAAACAACATCAGAAGTGTCTTACCTGGGCACAGAAAAACAGACCTGGTCTGTTGCTCAGCAGTCCAAAGTCCTCTTTTCTGATGAGAGCAACTTTTGCATCTCATCTGGAAACCAAGGACCCAGAGTATGGAGGAAGAATGGAGAGGCACACTGCAAGATGCTTGAAGTCCAGTGTGAAGTTTCCACAGTCTGTGTTGATTTGGGGAGCCATGTCATCTGCTGGTGTTGGTCCACTGTGCTTCATTAAGTCCAGGGTCAACACAGCCATCTACCAGGAGATTTTGGAGCACTTCATGCTTCCTTCCGCAGACGAGCTTTATGGGGATGCTGACTTCATTTTCCAGCAGGACTTGGCACTTGCCCACACTGCCAAAAGCACCAAAACCTGGTTCAATGACCGTAAGATTACTGTGCTTGATTGGCCAGCAAACTCTCATGGCCTGAACCCCATAGAGAATCTATGGGGCATTGCCAAGAGAAAGATGAGAGACATGAGACCGAACAATGCAGAAGAGCTGAAGGCCGCTATTGAAGCATCCTGGTCTTCCATAACACCACAGCAGTGCCACCGGCTGATAGCTTCCATGCCACGCCGCATTGAGGCAGTAATTGCAGCAAAATGGGGCCAAACCAAGTACTGAGTACATATGCATGCTTATACTTTTCAGAGGTCCGATATTGTTCTATGTACAATCCTTGTTCTATTGATTGAATGTAATATTCTCATTTTCTGAGATTGTGGATTTGGGGTTTTTTATGAGCTGTAAACTATAATCATCACAATTATGACAAATCACGGCTTGAACTATCTTGCTTTACATGTAATGAGTCTATCTCATATATTAGTTTCACCTTTTAAGTTGCATTACTGAAATAAATTAACTTTTGCACGATATTCTAATTTTTCGAGTTTCACCTGTAATAGCCAGGCTGCTAATGTTTTCAAAAACCAAATGAATTAAAACAAAAAAAAAAAGCTGTGAATGTACAATATATACGTAAAGTGCTGTCTAAATTGACAGTGCTATATAAGTACCTGTAATAATAAATAAGAGCAGTTTTAACTTGCATTATAAGGTGTCTAGGCAATGGAGGGTTAAACCTGCAAAATGTTGTATAATAGGTGCTGCATGGCTATCACATTAAAAGACCTATAGGATTCAAGGCAGGAATTATTCATATGCTGAACAGAAACTTAAGACAGAGGACAAAGCACAAATGACCTGGGTGCAGTAAAATACATACAGTATATCCTTTAGGCACTAATAAACAGGAGGGCAGCTTAAAGTGAGCTTATGGAGAAGATCTGATAGTTCTTCACGGCCAGCAGAAGGATTGTTTGCGGAGGGAAGTCCATATTGAAACTCTGCTGGATGTTACCGAGTTAGTCCCACTGGACCTGCAAATTGCTGAAAGATAGCAGAATACTTGCAGCACAGAAAGAGCTTATTCTTCTGGTTTGCACAAAAGTAATAGCATTGCTATGGCTACACGTTTCAGGGGGTCCTCCCCATTTATCAAGCCTGGACCTAGCAATGCCACTGCTAATCTGCAAACTGGAGGAGTATGTGTTCTGGGCTGTGAGGATGCTGCTAGTCTTCCAGTATCTCGTAGGTCCAGCAGATCTGACTCATCATCCAGCAAAGATAGACTTCCCTCTTCAAACAGCCCCTCTGCTAGCCAGAGAAGACTGCCAGATCCTCTCCAAAGGCTCATAAACACTTCTATGACCTCCTGTTTGTGAGTGCATTGTATTATTTTTCATTAAAGCTTATATGTATTTTATTGCATTCAGATTAGTCTTATTTATTTTTTATTTCAGGTACTTATATAGCGCCATCAATTTACGCAGCGCTTTACATATATATTGTACATTCACATCAGTCCCTAACCCTCAAGGAGCGTGGAATCTAAGGTCCCTAACTCACATCCATACATACACATATTAGGGCCAATTTAGACAGGAGCCAATTAACCTACCAGCATGTCTTTGGGTGGGAGGAAACCAGAGTACCCGGCAGAAACCCACACACAGGCACAGGGAGAACATGCAAATTCCAGGCAGGTGGTGCCGTGGTCGGGATTTGAACCAGCGACCCTAGTACTGCCAGGCAGAAGTGCTAACCATTTAGTCTTCTGTTTCTGTTCAAAATGAGTATACCCTGTTTTTCCTCAATACAGGTAGGCATCAAAATGGAGAAACTGACAGTTATCCCTGATGCCCAATAATGCATCAAAATGGGGAGACCGACAGCTAACCCAGATGCCCAACATTTAACTGCCTGTCCCTAGAATGGCACAAATGTTTGCTTAATGCTGGCCACACACTAGTAGAATTTAGCTTCTAATGGTTAATGGGTTCAAATCGACATTTGTTTTTGACTGTAGTGATGAGAAAATTTGAAGCAGCTGGATGGATTTTTTTTTTCAAATGAACAAATGTGGTTTTAGTTCAGCAAAGTCTATTCGTTCCAAAATCGAGTATTGAAAACAAACTTTTTTGAGGTACTTTCAAACGACATTCGTTATGTTACTGAATGACCGGGATGCCGTTGTGCATCTGTAATCCCATTTATTCAAGAGGCTGAGGTTTGCGTGAGTCCAGGAGTTCTGGTCTACCCTGCACTATGTCGATAGGGTGTCTGCATTAACTTCTGTATCAATATAGTGGCTCTTGGGGAGCCCAGGGGCCACCAAGTTGTCCTAAGGAGGGGTGAACCAGCCCAGGTTAGAAACGGAACATGTCAAAACCCCTGTTCCGATCAGTAGTGGGAATCATCCAAGAGTCTAAAGACCCTTTGCTTCACTCACTAACACTGGCGTAACCTGCCTTCCTAAAACTTTCCAAGCAGTAAAACAGTGCAGTTTTATTTGGTATCTGATCACTTGAGTCCATTTAAGCAGAATTCTTAAGCCCTGATGAAGGGGAGTGTGTTTGGCTCAAAAAACATGTTGGCTTTGTCCTTCTTTGAATTAATCTTATCATTAATCTCCCTGGACGCTTGGACTTTTGTTTTGTGCTCTCATTCATTGGATTGTATGCATGTGGATTCTCAACTCTGGGTCCTTTCCCTTTTTCCTGAGGGTGGTCCCGGTTTTGTGGAGTGCTGCCAAACCAAAGCCAGTGTGCCCAGTAACAATTTCAGCGATCCTTAGAAAATCTGCTTCCAGTACCCAGTTTGTTCTTATGTTTTGAGGTTTTTATTACTGTATGTGTCTCCATTAGGTAGATTCACTCTCTCTATTTGTCTTTGCCATGTTTATCATTATCATCGAATTTGTCTTGGGGTTGTCCACTGGACAGCAATAAAAGGGAAATCCTCTATTGGGAACAGTAGTTCT